CCTGCTAGGATGGGATAGCTCCTACGAACTGTCGAAAGAAGTTCTTTTTGTCTTTTTTACTGAAGGAATAGGTTTTTGACTGGAAGAACTTCATGTTTCTTCCTGAACAAATCGGTGTTTCTCCACGAGAACTTCGTGTTTTGTTCTGAGAAAAAAACGCAGATATTGTGCAAAAATTATTCGATGTATTCGAACATGGTTCGGTAAGGTATCGAGTACTTGAATCCTTCTCTGTCTTATATGGCTTCACTTTCGTCTTTCAGAGTAAAACATTCAGTGCATTGGTACCAGACGACGTACATTCATTATTAAATTTGAAACATTTTGGAACATTGACTTTTCCCAAAACTACGGCTATTAAACCGTCAGATCATTTCCAGAAATAATTAGTGTTAATAAAAAGACGATGGAATTTATCCGTAAGTGAAAAATTTGCATTGCTGTAGGATATATTTGGCGTTTAAATTATCTAGTGCATTGAAGAGTCTAATATATACTGAGTCTCTGCTCTTTTTAGTTGGAAAATGCTCGACGTACATTAATTGATACATATCTGCTCGAAGCAGCAGACTATGGTTATAATGAAAACACGTACAGTGAAGAAAATAATACATTATCAATATATCCAGAATATCATGTTAGCAGGACAACTATTCGAGGAGATCTTGAACTTTTTGGATCGATAGATTATGTTGCAGCAAAACGAGCTGAAAATGATTGTGGTAAGCAAACATGTGTTCATTCTAGCAATAGAATATATGATAATGTGAACTTCTGTTATTTTCAGTTGCTTTGCATGACGGAAATAGCTCCGCAGTATCACCATTATTTTGCTCAGTAAAAGCGAAGAGAGATGAGATGTTTGCGGATGGATCAGATGAATGTCTAGGTCAAATGATGGCATTATTCAAAAAACATAAGTGAGATTTTCTTTATTTAAATTCTTTTCAATTTTTAAAGGAATATCTATTCTATTTTAGATAACCCATGAATGGATGTTTGACCGCCCAAGCAAAAACGACCCAATTTTTTGGGTTATTTATCTAGATTCAGCTCCACGTGCATCTAGATGTACGTGGACCTGAATCTAGATAAATA